ATATCCAAAGGATTATAAATCGTTCTACTATAAGGACACATGCACACGAATGTTCATTGCAGCACTGTTTACAATAGCAAAGACCTGGAAACAACCCAAATGCCCATTGATGATAGACTGGACAGGGAAAATGTGGCACATATACACCATGGAATATTATGCAGCCATCAAAAATGATGAGCTCCTGTCCTTTGTAGGGACATGGATGAACCTGGAAACCATCATTCTCAGCAAACTGACACAAGAGCAGAAAATCAAATACCGCATGTTCTCACTCACAGGTGAGTGTTGAACAATGAGAACACATGGACACAGGGAGGGGAGCACTACACACTGGGGTTGGGGGGAAATAGGGGAGGGACAGCAGGGGGAGGGGAGTTGGGGAGAGATAGCATGGGGAGAAGTGCTAGATGTGGGTGATGGGGAGGAAGGCAGCAGATCACACTGCCATGTGTGTACCTATGCAACAATCTTGCATGTTCTTCACATGTACCCCAAAACCTAAAATGCAATAAAAGTTAAAAAAAAAAAAGAAGAAGAAGATGGTCCCTGGATCCTTGAGGAAACATCCCAAAGTCATGAGGCTGGCCAGAGGCTTATGTATCATTATGAAGGTTTACATATATTTGAAAAGGATAGAAAAAGAACATTTTGAAACAAAAAGGAGAAAAGAAGAGAGGTTTCTTCCTTTATTTTCAACAGGGAGGATTCAGCCTTTTATTTTTAATTTGTATCTGCCCTTATAGGGACCTGACTAAGCCAACACAAGTTTGTCTGGGCTTGCCCTGAATTGACCAAGATTATTTCTGCCAAATAACAGAATGTGAACTTAAGCCAGGGATTCTGTTCAAGTACAGAAAATTTTAAAATTAGGCTGCTTTACACAGCTGAGTTACCATTGCTGCACATCATTTAAAGTGTTTAAGGCCAATGTGATTTGTTTTTCACAAAGAGCTCATGGCTTTCTGATTGGGAAGAGTTCCAGAAGCCTGAAGTTCAAAGGCCTAAGCTTAGCGTAGACTTCCCCAGGGTCAGACAGACATGGGTTCAAATCTGGACTGTGCCTCAGCTGCCCTCATGCCCTTCACTGAGACCCCCACCTCTGAGCCTGCGGGATCATTAGTGTTATTGACAAATAGTCCTAGTTTTCCCCATCCCCCCGTCTCTGCCCCCTGAGGGAGGGTTTGCCCCTGACTCTTTCTCTTCTACTCTGGGGCTGACCTAAGTGCTCCTCCTGAGAAGGATGCCCCACTCCTGCTCAGCCTCCCTGTCTGCATCTTATCCCCAGGGTGGGCCCCTAGAGCTTCTTCTGGGAACACACTCATGTTCCTTCAGGCACTGCTCCCTGGCCCGCCATCCTCACATCAGCCCCTCACTTACCATCTTCCCCACATGCTGCTGCCCACCACTGGCAAGCACCTGCCAGGGCCCGGGTCTCAGTGGTGCTAGCCGGGCCCAGCAGAGGTCTGTGGCCCCTGCAATTTGTTGGCTCTGCCCTGTGTCCCACAGGGAAAGCGAAAGCTGTCTGCAGGGTCCAGGTCCTGCACCTGGGTGTCCCCTAGGGCACTTGTCCCCTGGGGGCTTCTCCTGTGTCCCCTGAGATGGCTGCACTGGGGGTGGGCAAAGCTTCTGGAGGGGAGAGCGGCAGGTGTGCCTTTTCACCATGGAGTGGTGAGCAGAAGAGTCCCCTTCAAGGGGCCATGTGTCTAATTTGTGGGAACAAAGGCAGGCAGGGAGGGTGGGGGCTCACTGGTGACGGGCATCTGACCTCATATCTTCTGCTATTTTGTCCTTGTGAACAAGTGGCCCAGGAATGGAAATAGGACCTGTTCCTGCTCAGCAAGTCTGGCCAGGTCTGGAGCAGGAAGCAGGGAACTCCAAGCTCCACTTGGGACTTTCCTCCCCTGCAGGCTTGATGGAACTGCCTCTGGGTTGAGTAGGGACTTGGGTTCCTCAAAGACACTCCTGTCTTCCTCAGCTTCCAGACCTTGGAGGACCGCTTTGAGTGCATCCTCATGGCCTCATGGTCACCAAGAGGCCTGGCACAATGGGGCAGATTGCTGCCTTGTCTGCTCTAGGAAGTCAGAGGCCAGGCAGACTATGGCAGAGGTGGCCTCTGGCCTCAGCCTGCCAAGCAATGGCTGCCCAGCTCAGGGTCCTGGTGGTTAAGAGAGGGGGCCTCAGGGCTGCCTTCCATGCTTCCTCTGTCCTGGGCTCCCCTTCTCATTCTGGGAGATGGGCTGGGGATCCAGGTGCCTCCATCTTGGAGTTCAAGGGCTCCTTGTTGGTGTCTTCTCCTGAGGATATTCTGATTTTTGATGTGCTCTGTTCCTGCTGCAGGCCCCACTGGGGTGGACACAGACACCCCAAATTCTTTGCCTGGCTGGAAGGCAAATGGAAAAGTCAGAAGTGGATTCTCTCTTGAGGAACATATTCTATGGCCTTGGCACTGACTGGGTGTTCAGAACGTTCCCTCCATCATCCACCACACCTTCGCTCAGTTCCCCCAGTAACAGATGCCAGGGGAGGACGATTGTTCCAGTTCTAAGCCAGGGTCATTAAATTCAAACGCAAGTGTCATCCAAGAGACCACCAGGATGGCTGAATCTTAGAAAGTAGAGATTTATCGACAACATTGGTTTGCAAACAAAAGGTTTTCTCTAGCATGGACCAAAGATGCTCTGCCTTCCAAGGAGGGATGGACAGGTTGAGTTTTGTGCCTCTCAGGGCCTGTATAACACAAAAGAGACATTCAGTAGACTGGGGATAAACATATATGTAACACACATCACATATTCACTTTCGGGCAGAGTTATAGCATTTAAATGAGGTGCAGTTTGTCTCTTTATGTCAAAAGGTGACCTATACGACACAAAGACAATTTGTGTGAGGCCTCTATAAGCTGCTGAAACTGGCTTGACCTCCACAGTTGCTTATCAGAAAAAAAAATATTTGCGGGCTGGGCCCGGGGGCTCACGCCTGTAATCCCAGCACTTTGGGAGGCCGAGGCAGGCGGATCACAAGGTCAAGAGATGGAGACCATCCTGGCCAACATGGTGAAACTCAGTCTCTACTAAAAATACAAAAAATAGCCAGGCATGGTGGCACGTGCCTGTGGTCCCAGCTACTTGGGAGGCTGAGGCAGAAGAATCGCTTGAACCCAGGAGGCAGAGGTGGCGGCGAGCCGAGATTGCGCCACTGTACTCCAGCCTGGCAACAGAGCAAGACTTCGTCTCAAAAAAAACCACAAAAACAACAACAACAAAAATGTTTGCAAGGCCAGTCCCCTGTCCAATCAGAATTGTAGCAGTCTGGGTTGTCAGTCAAAGTTAGGAGGGGTCTGACAATTTGCCTGATAGCTCCTATTGTTAAGGAGTTTAGCAAGACTGTGGTTTTTCTTGCAGTAGGTAACTTTAGGGTCCGTCGTTGTAGATAAAGAGCCATCTATTTTGGGATCTCAGATCACACAGGGAACCACAGCTAACACATCAGTGGGTGGCATAGCCTGGCAGAATAAACCTGGGCCCCTCCCTCTTTTGATGGATGGGATATCTGGCTGGCTGTTAGCCTTGGGCTCTTCATGTTGTGCAAGGAGAATGAGCAAGGCCTCCCACCCACTGGCTGCCTCCTGGGAAGATAATGCAGTCTGCACAGAGGTTGCAAACTGGCAACCCAGCTGATTCTGGCCCATGGACATGTTTTAGTAGGCCTGCACTAGCGCAAGCAGTGAATAAGCTTGCCATTAAAAAAATTGGAAGATTGCCTATATAAACCTGGATTTCTAAGTCTTCCTAAAAAACAAAAAGGCTTGACAACACTGCCTAATTCTGGCAACAAGCGTGTGGAGCTGAGCGGTGGCTGCCCCAATCCTCCATGCTCCCCATCCTGCCCAGCTTCCTACCTGACATCCTAACTCAGCCACATCACCCACCTCTTACTTGAGGAATAGTTATTGTTTATCTTGAAAATGTAACCACCCAAGTTCATCTTGCCTGCTGCTTAGACAGAGATGATTTATCAAGACAGGGAAATTGCAATAGAAAATGAGTAATTCACATAGAGCTGGCTGTGTGGGAGACCAGGGTTTTATTATTACTCAAATCAATCTCCCTGAGCATTCAGGGATTAGAGTTTTTAAGGATAATTTGGTGGGGGCGGGGGCGGTGAGTTGGAAGTGCTGATTGTTTGGGTCAGAGATGAAATCGTAGGGAGTTGAAGCCGTCCTCTTGTGCTGAGTCAGTTCTTGGTTGGGGGACATAAGATCAGATGAGCCAGTTTATTGATGTGGGTGGTTCCAGCTGATTCATCAAGTGCAGGGGGATGTTATCACCAGGAGCAATTTGGGGAGGGTCAGAATCTTGTAGCCTCCAACTGCATGACTCCTAAACCATAATTTCTAATCTTGTGGCTAATTTGTTAATTGTATAAAGGCAATCTAGTCCTGAGGCAAAAAGGAGGTTTGTTTTGGGAAAGGGCTGTTATTTACTTTGTTTTAAACTATAAACTAAGTTCCTCCCAAAGTTAATTCAGCCTATGCCCAGGAATGAACATGGTCAGATCTGTTTCACTGTCTCAGTTATAATTTTGCAATGGTGGTTTCAAAAATATGTATCTATAAAAACAAGTAATTCAAAATCAAGGATATTGGAGCTTTAAATTATTCTGAGCTTTAAAGGAATGTGATTTTGGGACCTGAGCCACATAACAGACAGCTGTAACATGGGCAGTGTAATCTTTGTTCCTCTGATTATAGGTTAAGTTTTTCTTTACCTACATTATTCTGTAAAATGTTGTAAAGACTAAAGGGTATCAGAGAAGATCCCTTCCCTCTTCAATGTCTGTATTAGTCTGTTTTCACACTGCTATAAAGAAATATCCAAGACTGGGTAGTTTATAAAGGAAAGAGGCTTAATTGACTCACTATTCTGCATGGCTGGGGAGGCCTCAGGAAACTTACAATCATGGCGGAAGGGGAAGCTGTCACCTTCACAAGGTAGCAGGAGAGAGTGTGAGCATGTGAAGGAGGAACAGTCAAACACTTATAAAACCATCAGATCTCATAAGAGCTCACTAACTATCATAAGAACAGTATGGGGGAAACTGTCCCCATGATCCAGTCGCCTCCCTCTCTCGACATGTGGGGATTACAGGTCTCTCCTTTCACATGTGGGGATTACAATTCTAGATGAGATTTGGGTCAGGTCACAGAGCCCAAATTACATCATTCTACACCTGGCCCTTCCCAAATATTATGTATTTTTACAGTTCAAAACCAACCATGCTTTCCCAACAGTTCCCCAAAGTCTTAACTCATTCCAGCTTTAGCCCAAAAGTTCACATTCAAAGTCTATCTGTAACAAAGCAAGTTCCTTCTACCTAGGAGCCTTTACAATCAAAAGTCAGTTAATTGCTTCTAAGATACAACAGCAGTACAGGCACTAGATAAATACTCCCATTTCAAATGGGATAAATTGGCTAAAACAGAGAAGCTATAGGCCCCATGCCCGTCCAAAATCTAGCAGCATGTTCATTAAATCTTAAAGCTCCAAACTAATCTCTTTGATTCCATGTCTCACATTCAGGTCATGCTGATGTAAAAGATAGGCTCCCATCAATGTCATTCAAAATTTGACAAAGAAAAAAAAATGCGCTCCCATGGTCTTGGGCAGCTCCACCCCTGTGGCTTTGCAGGGTGCAGCCTCCCTCCCAGCTGCTTTCACAGGCTGATGCTGAGTGTCTTTGGCTTCTCCAGGTGCATGGTACAAACTTTCAGTGGATCTACCATTCTCATGTCTGCAGGACAGTGGTCCTCTTCTCACAGCTCCACTAGGCAGTACCCCAGTGGGGACTCTGTGAGGGGGCTCTAACCCCACATTTCCCTTTCACACTGCCCTAGCAGAGGCTCTCCATGAGGGGTCCACCTGTGCAGCATACCTCTGTCTGGACATCCAGGCATGTCCATACATCTTCTGAAATCTAGGCAGAGGTTCCCAAACCTCAATTCTTGACTTCTGTGCACCTGTGCACACAAAACCACATGGAAGCTGCCAAGGTTTGGGGCTTACACCCCCTGAAGAAACAGCCTGAGCTGTACCTTGGAACCTGTTAGCCACAACTGAAGCTGAAGTGGCTAGGATGCAAGGCGCCATGTCCCGAGGCTGCACAGAGCAGTGGGGACCCTGGGCCTGGCCCATGAAACCACTTTCCCTTGTAGGCTTTCAGACCTGTGATGGGAGGGGCTGCCATGAAGACCTCTGACATGCCTAGGAGACATTTTCCCCATTGCTTTGGTGATTAACATTGGGCTTCTTGTTACCCATGGAAGTGGTGTGGATTCTTAGTGTGTTCTGATAGCCACATGTCACTATGCACCTGTCCTTTGTGTCTTCTCATCACATCCTACTGCATTTTAAAGCATTTTCATAGTATGTGGTTTTGCCTGAAAACGCATTCTCATAGTTTTAAAAAGTTGCAATTTCTGCAGCTGGCTTGAATTTCTCTCCAGAAGATGAATTTTTCTTTTCTATTGCATCATGAGAGCCAGGCTTGGTGGCTCACACCTGTAATCCAAGCACTTTGGGGGGCCGAGGTGGGTGGATCACCTGAGGTCAGGAGTTGGAGACTAGCCAGACCAGCATGGAGAAACCCTGTCTCTACTAAAAATACAAAAAATTAGCTGGATGTGGTGGTGCATGTCTAATCCTAGATACTCGGGAGGCTGAAGCAGGAGAATGGCTTGAACCTGGGAGGCGGAGGTTGCAGTGAGCTGAGATTGCACCATTGCACTCCAGCCTGGGCAACAAGAGTGAAACTCGAAAGGGAGGGAGGGAGAGAGGGAAAGAAAAAGAAAGAAAAGAAAGAAAGAGAAAGAAAAAGAAGGAAATAAAGAGAAAGAGAAAGAAGGAAATAAAGAGAAAGAGAAAGAAAAAGAAATTTCTTCCACCAAGATACCCTAAATCATCTCTCTCATGTTCAAAGTTCCACAGATCTCTAGGGCAGGAGCAAAATACCATCAGTGTCTTTGCTAAAGCATAGCAAGAGTGACCTTTGCTCTAGCTCCTGAGAAGCTCCTCATCTCCATTTGAGACCACTTTAGCCTGGACTTCATGGTCAACATCATTATCAGCATTTTGGTCAAAACCATTCAATGAGTCTCTAGGAAATTCCAAACTTTCCCACGTCTTCCTGTCTTCTCAGCCCCCCAGACTGTCCCAACCTCTGCCTGTTACCCAATTCCAAAGTCACTTTCACATTTTCAAATACTTTTACAGCAGTACCCGCTCTTTGTGGTACCAATTTATTGTATTACCCTGTTTTCACATTGCTATAAAGAAATACCTGAGAGTGGGTAATTTATAAAGGAAAGAAGTTTCATTGACTCACAGTTCTGCATGGCCAGGGAGGCCTCAGGAAGCTTACAATCATGCTGGAAGGGGAAGCAAACACCTTCTTTACAAGACAGCAGAAGAGAGTGTGAGTGTGTGAAGGAGGAACTGTCAAACACTTGTAAAACCATCAGATCTTGTGAGAACTCACTCACTATAATGAAAACAGCATGGGGGAAACCACTCCCATGACAATCACCTCCCTCCCTTGACACATGGGGATTACAATTCAAGATGAGATTTGGGTTAGTGTGACATGGTAAAAGACCCGTAAAACTGCATACCTCAACCATACCTCAGCTCCCTGTTAAAACTGCTCTCTATAACCCTGATGTGACAGACAAGCAGTCCAAATCCACAACATCATGGCCCCTGCGACTTGTAATAAGTAATAAGGTCTGTAATTTGCACCCATACCCAGACAATGTGTAAACTAATGCTTATCTTGACTTCTGTAAACCACTTAAGTAACAATCAGAATATCCAAAGTACCCTGGCCCTCGGAATGTCCGGAGCCCGTTACCCTCATCTCTGCCCAGGAGGTGATTTATGGAATCCACTGGTCCTCAGAATGTCTGAAGCCCCTCACCCTGACCCACACCCCTCACCCCCACCCCTGAGGTGGTTTATGGGCATAAAATGTCTTGACACCCTCCTTTCGGGGCCATGGGTTGGAGAGACTCGAGTCCTCCGTGGCTGCTGACAATAAAGACCCTGCAATTTGGCATACTTTTGTCTTGGTGTTGACTTTCTATGCTCGCTCCTGTACAACATTGGGACACAGAGCCAAACCATATCACTGTCCATCTTCATTATAGACTAACTTCCCTCTTACTTCTCTTACACAAAGACCTCATTACTATCACATTGTCTAAGATGGAATGTCAAATATACTCTTTTAAATTGGAAAAGAAAAATAAAACAGCTGTAATTAGTCAAATTGCTGTAACTCAAAACCAGCCTTGTATGGAATGTGTTATAATCTTGTAAAATTTGTTTTTGCCTATATAATCAAGACCTTAACTTTTCAACTTCTGAGCACTTTGCCCATTTCTTTTGAGTCTATATTACCAGGATGGCTATTTTCAGGTTTGCACTTGAATAAACTCTTTTAAACTAGGTTGTGATCCTTTCAATTGCTAAAGTTTGACATATGTTTAATGGGTTGTTTAAGGGCCCAACAGGTTCATTTTGCCTGCTGCCCAGATATAGCCGACTTAACAATACAGGGGAATTGCAATAGAGAAAGTTTAACTCATGCAGAGCCAGCTGAATGGGAAACAAGAGTGCTACTACTCAAATCAGCAGTCTCCCCACAAAATTCAGAGATTATGGTTTTTTCAAGGATAGTTTGATGTTTAGGGGGCCCAGCAGTGGGGAATGGCAACTGGTTGGGTCAAAGATGACATCATAGGGAGTCAAAGCTGTCCTCTTGCACTGAGTCAGTTCTTGAGTGTGGGCCACAAGACTGATTGATGGGTCCAGGTGGAGCCATTGGCCATCAGAAATTCAGAAATCTGAAAAGATACTTCTTTTTTTTTTTGAGAAAGAATTTTGCTCTTGTTGCCGAGGCTGGAGTGCAATGGCACAATCTTGGCTCACTGCAACCTCCGCCTTCCAGGTTCAAGCAATTCTCCTGCCTCAGCCTCCTGAGTAGCTGGGATTACAGGAATGTGCCACCATGCCCAACTAATTTTGTAGTTTTAGTAGAGACAGGGTTTCACCATGTTGGTCAGGCTGGTTTCGAACTCCCAACCTCAGGTGATTCACCTGCCTCAGCCTCCCAAAGTGCCGGGATTACAGGCATAAGCCACCATGCCCGGCCAAAAAGATATTTCAAAAGGCCAATCTTAGGTTCTCCAAGAGTGATATTATCTGCAAGAGTAATTGAGGCAGTTGCAAATCTAGTGACCTTCAAAATAATGGCTGGTAATCATTTAAGTCTACACCTTAGCAGAATTCAGTTTCCTTTCATCCTCCTAACATAGCGGATATTCATTAGCTTTACAAAGGTCATTTAAACTATCAACTAAATGTCTCACAAAGTTAGCTTGGCCCAGGCCCAGGCCCAGGCCCAGGCCAAGGCCCAGGCCCAGAAATGAATAAGGGCATTTTGGAGGTTAAAGGTAAGGTTGCAGGGGCTGGTCACGGTGGCTTATGCCTGTAATCCCAGCACTTTGGGAGGCTGAGGCAGGTGGATCACCTGAGGTCAGGAGTTCAAGACCAGCCTGGGGAACATGGTGAAACCCCATCTCTACTAAAAGTACAAAATTAGCCAGGCATGGTGCCGCATGCTTGCAATCCCAGCTACTCAGGAGGCTGAGGCAGGAGACTTGCTTGAACCCGAGTGGCAGAGGTTGCAGTGAACCAAGATCATGTCATTGTACTCTAGCCGGGCGACAAAAGTGAAACACCATCTCAAAAAATAAAAAATAAAAATAAAAACAAACAAATAAAGGCAAAGGTGGGGGTTGATTAGATCAGATCTGTCTGATCTGTTACAATTTTTGCAAAGGTTGTTTCAATCAAATCTGTCTGGCCATTCGGGGAGGAAAAATAATTTTCTCTCCAACTTTATTGGAGCTTCCTGTAACAAAAGACAGATTAATAAGAGAAAAACAAACAGAAGTTTCTTAATATGTAGACATCCTATATAAATGGGAGAAAACCAGAGAAATCAGCAAATCTTCAGAATAAAGAGTCGCAACCTTGGGCTTTAATAC